AGAGGGATCATTGGACAACTAACCTTGGTTTTGAAGTTGTTTGGTTTTTTTTAAAGAAAAAACAGGGTTTATTGTAATGTCTGGATGCACCCAATGGGGTTTGCTTCTTTGGGATTTTTGGTGCGGCCCTCCTTTGGTCGGTTGATTTACAGTCAAGAGTGCATCTGAGCATGTACAGAATATTTTTGTGTTACTACCGATCTCAGGAATTAGGGCACAGAGTTTCCAGTTTAGAAGAGCGTATTTCTAAACGTATCAGAACCTTGGAGCAGTCTTTCTCTCTTCTGCTTTCTCTTTCTTTACAAAATTTTTAAACTCCTCAGAGCAGATATTAACAACAATATACAGATACAGGCTGTCGTTCAATTACGTTGTCTTCCAGTATGCCTCACGAAGAGTGCTTTGCTGTCATTAGACAGCACAAACACAATCGGCATGGTGTAGAGGTTAGAGTGCTGGACCCGGGTTCAGATCCCTCCTCACCAGTGTTCCCCCTAAACTGAGTGAGTGTGAGCTCTGCATAATGCATGGGATAGAGCAGGTAGAGAAAGAGGTACTTTTCTCCCTTTCTCACAATACAAGAACTCGTGGGCACTCCATGAAACTGCAGAGCGGTCAGGTTAGAACGGATAAAAGGAAGTCCTTCTTCACCCAAAGAGTGATTAACACTTGGAATTCACTGCCACAGGAAGTGGTGGCGGCTACAAGCATGGACGGCTCCAAGAGGGGATTGGATAAGCCTATGGAGCAGAGGTCCATCAGTGGCGCCTATTAGCCACAAGGTATAGATAGGGGCTCTGGGGCAAGGGACGCTCTGTCTTCTTGGTGCTTGGGGGCGGGCAGCAGTGGGATGGCTTCTAATGTCCTGGCCCCACTGGTGGACCTCCTGATGGCACTGGTATTTCTGGCCACTGTGTGACACAGAGTGTTGGACTGGATGGGCCTTTGGCCTAATCCAACATTGGCGTCTCTTATGTTCTCTTATGTTCTTATGAGCGAGCTCACAGTTTTTTAGCCTCCGGCTCGCACATTTTCGTCTCAGCTCAGGAAGGAGGGCTCCAGAGCAAACTAATTTACGCAGTAGCCAAATCGCCCGCTCACAACTTTCATGCCAGGAGCTCTCAAAGTAGAATTTTTGCTCACAAGACTCCACAGCTTAGAGGGAACATTGCTCCTCACCCATGGAAGCTCAGCGGGTGAGAAAAAGACTAAAACCTGCACTGCAGTGGAGCTGCCACCAAAACAAGGGCACCAGTTAAGGTGCCGGCGGGGTGGGGACCCCGGTCTTAGGCATGCCTTCCTGAGCCCCTCTTTGCTGAGGCACTGCGTGGTACCTATTTATCTACTTGCAATTTCTTGCTTTCGAACTGCTAGGTTGGCAGGAGCTGGAACTAGAGACGGGAGCTCACTCAGTCATGCGGCACACCCGGGTCTCGAACTGCCGAACTACCGACCTTCCACAGCCTGCAGTTCAGCGTCTTAACCACCAAAACAAGGGCACCAGTTAAGGTGCCGGCGGGGTGGGGACCCCGGTCTTAGGCATGCCTTCCTGAGCCCCTCTTTGCTGAGGCACTGCCAGTGTAGGGCAGAGGGGGAAATCGGTGGGCAGAAGAAAAGGGCTTAGCTACCCTCTCCCAGCTGATTATGTCCAGCAAATCCTGCCTTCATCCCGGTTAGGGATGCCACCCTCCAGGTGGGGCCTGGGGGTCCCCTGGAATTACAGCTCATCTCCAGTCTACAGAGATCGCTTCCCCAGGAGAAAACGGGTACTTTGGAGGGTGGACCCTGTGGCATCAGACCCCACTGAGGTCCCTGTCCTCCCCAGGCTCCACCCCCCAAATCTCCTGGAATTTCCCATCCTGGATCTGGCAACCCTGCCCCCCCAGCGGCAAGGGGGGAACTGGCAACACTCATCCAAGTTCACTGCGGGTTTTGGAGTCTGGCTGGAGAGGAAAAAATGCAATTGGAAATGATGGCAGAAGCATCTGAAGGGAGAGAATTGGGATCCTCACGCTCTTCACAGAGATTCAATTCCTCCGGCAAATGCCTCCCTTGTAAGCCAACACTGGCTTCTCTTATGTTCTTATGAATGGGATCAACATATGGAGCAGAGGTCCATCAGTGGCTCTTAGCCACAAGGTATCATAGAATCATAAAATGTTAGAGCTGGAAAGGGACCTTGCAGGTCATCCAGTCCAACCCCTGCACTCTGCAGGAGCACAGCCGAAAGAGAGCCCTACATACCTACAACATACCCGAAAGATGGTCATCCAGCCTCCGCTTGAAAACGTCCAGCGAAGGAGCAGCCACCACCTCCCGAGGCAGACTGTTCCACTGCTCAACCACTCTGACAGTTAGGAAGTCTCTCCTGCTATTTAGCCGGTAACGACTCCCTTGTAATTTCCACCCATTCGATCTAGTCTTGCAATCCGGAGCAAGAGAGAAGAGATCCGCTCCATCTTCTACATGACAGCCCTTCAAATACTTGAAGACTGCAATCATGTCCCCTCTAAGCCTTCTCTTTCCCAGGCTGAACAGACCCAACTCTTTTAGCCTTTCGTCGTAAGACTTGGATTATTTCCAACCCTCTCACCATCTTGGTTGCCCTCTTCTGGACACGCTCGAGCTTGTCGACATCCTTCCTCAAATGTGGTGCCCAAAACTGGACACAGGACTCCAGGTGAGGCCTGAGT